ATTCTGACTCTGTCTCTTTCTGCCTGAAGTTGCCTTTTCTCCTCTTGTCCATATCTGCAGTGCTTAATTCCAGCAGCAGAATCCAGTACATGCCACTTCCTCCTGCAGGGAGTTTCTCAGCCTCCCCCTTCTGCCTCCCTTACTCTCTGTTGACTCCCATACCTTTTCCCTGCATGCCTGATCCTGGATGTTCCCTGAATTTCTGGTTTTTTTGCAGTGTTTCATGAGCATATCTTAGTTCCCCTGCCACCCTGCAAACCTTTGAGGGTAGAATTTTTGTTTCTCTTACGGCACCGAGTTTTGATATCAGCGCTTAGAAATGGTTCTGGCTAGTTGATTAAAAACTACCTGAAATAAGGTGCTCCTCTGGAACAAGGTGGGAAGGAGACTTTCCAATGTTTACTCTGTATGCTTCTTCAATTTGATGTCATATGAATTTATTACTTATTCACAAAAGAAATTAAGGTATAAAAATACATACGAATTCCAGGGTCTCACCCCAGCTGTTCTAAACCAGAATCTCTGTAGGAGCAGGGGAGATGGAATCTGTAAAGCTGTACTATCTGAATACCTCTCAGGTGATTTTGATGCCTAGCCAGGTTTAGGAACCACTGCCTCAAAGCACATAATAGGTATTCAGTAAGCATTCGTTCAAAGGAGGAATGAACACTTGTCCTTCTTTTTTTTTTTTTTTTTTTGAGATGGAGTCTTGCTCTATTGCCCAGGCTGGAGTGCAGTGGTGCAATCTTGGCTCACTGCAACCTCTGCCTCCTGGGTTCAAGCAATTCTTCTGCCTCAGCCTCCCGAGTAGCTGGGACTACAGGTGCATGCCACCATGCCCAGCTGATTGATTGCTTGTGTTTCTATAGCACTTAGCTTATGCCTTCTGCCTAGCAATTGTTCAGTAAATATTTGTTAAGAGAATTAAAGTGAATTTTGAATTCAGATGCCATCACCACCTCCAACACCCCATCCCACTTTCTCTCTCTGTCTCTTTTTTTTTTTTTTTTTTTTTTTTTTGAGACGGAGTTTCACTCTTGTTGCCCAGGCTGGAGTGCAATGGTGCAATCTTGGCTCACCACAACCTCTGCCTCCCCGGTTCAAGTAGTTCTCCTGTCTCAGCCTCCCAAGTAGCTGGGATTACAGGCATGTGCCACCACGCCTGGCTAATTTTGTATTTTTAGTAGAGACGGGTTTTCACCATGTTGGTGAGGCTGATCATGAACTCCTGACCTCAAGCGACCCACCCGTCTTGGCCTACCATAGTGCTAGGATTACAGGCATGAGCCACCGCGCCTCGCCCACCTCATCCCACTTTCTTAGCTCAAATCTCATTATGACTCTCAATGGTTCCCTATTCACTTCTATATAAAATTTAACTGTAGGGAGTCCTTTAGGGCCCTTTATGATCTAGTCTGACCCTTCTTTCCCAAGCCGTCTCATTCAACAGATACATGCTGAGGCCTGCCGTGTGCCTGACCCCATATAGACACTGTCAACTGGGCTGCACACACCACTCCTGCCACCACTCAGGCTCCCTCATCAGCCCCTGAGAACAGTACCCGCTTTGATCATTTTTAATTTATTTTGCCTATAGTGTTCCTTCTGCTTACAGAATCCTTCCTATACCCCTGTTTTACTTATTTATGGAAGTAATCCAGGGCCTCTGTAAATAATTTTACTTACTCTTCTAACATTTTATACTTATCTCCAGTATATGGCCTGCCATCATGGATTCCAGTGATTAGTTGACAGTTCTCTTTCTTCCCCTAGACTCTGGGCTCCTTGAGATCAGAGACTTGCCTTCCTCCTGTTCGTATCTCCAGTATATCTCTAGCACCCAAGTACTGTGTCTGACCATATTAACATATTTGCTGGATAAAGTTGTTAGAAGGTGTATCAAGAAGGCAAATCAAGGTGCTACTTAGTAACTATGATTTTTAAAGGATTTCTGCCACACAAAGGTAGATATCCCCCCTGAAAAATGTCATGCTTTGATTTTGCAAAGTTATGACAATATTTTAATGACATATATAATGATACTTATTGTATATGTTGTTCTGTTAAGTATGACTATGGTATTATTCTGTGTTAAGAGTAACACGGCCTTTTGCTGACCATCCTAGCTGAACAATCTGAGAGAAGAATCAGAATCCTACAGAAGTGGTTGGGGCTTTGTATATTATAAATCTGAGTCAGGACACCCTAGAGTGTTCATTAGCCCAACGTGAAATGCCGTATTCCCCAAATGGAAGCAGAGCCTAAAGGGAGATTCAGGATGCTGTGAAGCAGAATGTTTTGGAAGAAGCAGTAGTTTTGAATTGGAAGGACAAAATAGATGATGTCAGCATAGACCTAAGCCGCCTTTCTGAATCATAGAGCATGTGTTTTTTCAGATCTGAAGCTATCTAGTCAGGCTGATAAAGTATTAAAATAATGTGTGGGCTTCTGAGAAGCCAAACATGATAAAAATATATGTGCCAGGGGAGAAAGGAGATCCTACAGGGGCCCAGAGCAGAGAGACTTCAAAGAAGGCAAAAGAAATATCAGCATAGTATGCTATCGATCTGTGACCCAGTGAAGGACAGACTCCTTCACTCCGGAGTGACCCTTTCTCCCCTTCAGGGGCAAAGAGGAAGCCATAAGATTCCATTTCATTTCATTCTAGTTTTATTTGTAGAAATAATCCCCCATACTTCTGGAAAAGATTCATGGAAGATTACAGTTAAAGGCAGGGTAGACAAGAGCAGAAGAACTAATGTTAAAGAAAATGAAACAATAGGCACACCAGAAACCCAGGCCAAGAATAGCTACAACAATTGATGATAAAAGTTAGTTCTGAGCTTCTTTGTCTTGAGAATTAAAACAGAAACATGGTGAATATAGTGTTCTCATTATCTGAATTGAAGAATTTGTTAATAGAAAGGTACTTTTTTCCTATGACTGGATACTGTAAAAGAATTTATCAGATGGGTCCTTGTATAAAGGACATTAAATAACATAATAGTCACAGCTTACAATAGCAGCTTTACAAAAAGGTAAAGAGAGGTTCTTTGTGTGGCTATCTGGTCCATCCAACTAAATAAATGCCATGAGCTAAATGTTATACTTTAGTGCTAGGAAAACACTGCCACTGAGAGTTAAAGTTGTATCATCAAACTGTAAGGCTTTCTGGAGACATCACTTAATACAGAATAGCATAGAGAGACTGGATGAATAGCTGGTTAGTATGTTCTGTAGACCAGAGGGGTTTTTTTGGTGTGTGTTTTGTTTGTTTGTTTGTTTTGCTTTACTTTTAACTGCATGTGGTGATCTATTAGCGGGTAGTGAAATTAGTGAGTTGCTGTAAGCATTCTTTAAAAGAAAAGGCTGGGTGTGGTGGCTCACGCCTGTAATCCCAGCACTTTGGGAGGCCGAGGCGGGCAGATCACAAGGTCAAGAGATCGAGACCATCTTGGCCAACATGGTGAAACCCCATCTCTACTAAAAATACAAAAATTAGCTGGGCATGGTGGCATGCACCTGTAGTCCCAGTTACTTGGGAGGCCGAGGCAGGAGAATCACTTGAACTCTGGAGCCGGAGGCTGCAGTGATCTGAGATCATGCTACTGCACTCCAGCCTGGCGACAGAGCGAGACTCCATCTCAAAAAGAAAAGTACTAGAGCAGAACAGAATGCATCACACCTAGTAAGGGTGAGTGTTAATTTCATTTGTGTCTTAGGTCACTATGTACTGTGACAGAGATCGTAAGAGATAGGTCACTGTCTCTTACTGTGGGAAGTATGAAAGCTGCTGCTTTTCACTGCCCCTCACTAAAATATCAGTTAGTAAACTCTAGCACCCCAAGCTCATGGAGTAGGATTTATATAGAGAATATAGCAAATACAGAGAAGAATAGAGATGGGATCCTCAGACCAGAACAAGAGCCACTGTGCCTTGAAGTTGTGCTAATTCAGGAACCTATGACTAGATTCATTCTTGTCCATTCTTGTCAAAGGATTTAGAAATGTCCTTTCCTGGTTTTACGTTTTATCTCCTTTGTATTTGCCTTCAATACCTGACAGTTCTTTTTGAAAGCCCTAGTCTACTTTGTCTCTACTAAAGGGGAAACTAGAAAAGGAACCTGATGAGTCCCCGCAGGGCCAATAGCGCAGAAAGGCAGGGTGCCCCTGGTGGTCAGACTCGATTACACACCCTGCAACTCGAGAGAGAGAGACCCTTCTGAGCCACAAATCAGGAAGGGCTCCTTCAGTTCTTGCTGCTTCTCTGAGTGGGCAATAGCTTTGCATATAGGTACCACTTAAGGAAAATTCATTTTAAAAAATAGCCTGGGCAACATGGCAAAACCCCGTCTCTACCAACAATACAAAAATTAGCCAGGCGTGGTGGCTTGCATCTGTGGTCCCAGCTACTCAGGAAGCTGAGGTGAGAGAATAGCTTGAGTCTGGGAAGTGGAGGTTACAGTGAGCAGAGACTGTGACACTGCACTCCAGCCTGGGCGACAGAGTGAGACTTTGTCTCAAAAAAAAAAAAATCATTTTCCTGCTTCATGGTTATGACTGGATCATCAGAGTCCACTTTGAAAATAGGCAGGAAGCTTGTGGCAGGACCATGGAATTGCCCAGCTCTAGTAGTTCAAAGCAGCAGCCTTGAGTGATGATGAGACCCTTAACATTTCAGAAAAAATAAAGTAAAATAAAACCTCCTCCCCTCCCAAATTTGGACATGTATATATAGCTCCAACTTTGGAGTAAAGGGGAAGGAGTTCTGGGAGGATTTCCAATGATAACAACTATTAGCAATGGTATGAGAAACAGGCTGGGGCAAGAAAAAGATTTAGCTTCTAATGTTGACTCTTGAGCCTTGGGAGCATCAACAGAGAGATAAAAACCTGAAGTTTCATACAAAAGAACAGTTTTTCACAGAAGTGGAAAATAGTCTAGAGATAAAGAAGCCACCTGTGGAAGAGTCTCTGACCATTTCTCTCCTCTTGTTTCAGATGACAGTCATGTCCCTTTCCAGGGACCTCAAGGACGACTTTCACAGTGACACGGTGCTCTCCATCTTAAATGAGCAGCGCATTCGGGGCATTTTATGCGATGTCACTATCATTGTGGAAGATACCAAATTTAAAGCCCACAGCAATGTTCTGGCAGCTTCAAGCCTGTATTTTAAAAATATCTTTTGGAGCCATACAATCTGTATTTCCAGCCACGTCCTGGAGCTGGACGATCTCAAAGCTGAAGTGTTTACCGAAATACTTAATTATATCTACAGTTCCACAGTCGTCGTCAAGAGACAGGAAACAGTCACTGATCTTGCAGCTGCAGGAAAAAAGCTGGGAATATCATTCTTGGAAGACCTTACCGATCGCAACTTCTCAAATTCCCCGGGTCCCTATGTATTCTGTATTACTGAAAAGGGAGTGGTTAAAGAAGAAAAACATGAAAAAAGGCATGAAGAACCAGCCATCACTAATGGGCCAAGGATCACAAATGCATTTTCCATCATCGAAACAGAAAATAGTAATAACATGTTTTCCCCGCTGGACTTGAGGGCAAGTTTCAAAAAGGTCTCTGACTCCATGAGAACAGCTAGCCTTTGCCTGGAGAGGACGGACGTCTGCCACGAGGCAGAGCCTGTCCGCACACTCGCTGAGCACTCATACGCTGTTTCTTCCGTAGCTGAGGCTTACAGAAGTCAGCCTGTACGTGAACATGATGGCAGTTCACCTGGTAACACAGGGAAAGAAAATTGCGAAGCCCTTGCAGCAAAACCGAAAACATGTCGGAAGCCAAAGACATTCTCCATACCACAGGATTCTGATTCAGCCACAGAAAATATACCACCCCCTCCAGTATCCAACTTAGAGGTTAATCAAGAAAGAAGTCCACAGCCAGCTGCCGTTCTCGCTCGTTCAAAATCTCCAAACAATGAAGGAGATGTCCATTTTTCCAGGGAAGATGAAAATCAATCTTCTGATGTTCCCGGGCCGCCGGCAGCAGAGGTTCCACCTCTGGTGTACAACTGTAGCTGCTGTTCCAAAGCCTTTGACAGCAGCACTCTGCTCAGTGCCCACATGCAGCTTCACAAGCCGACCCAGGAGCCTTTAGTGTGCAAGTATTGCAACAAACAGTTCACCACCCTGAACAGGTTGGATCGGCATGAACAGATCTGCATGAGGTCAAGCCACATGCCCATTCCTGGAGGAAACCAAGGCTTTTTAGAAAACTACCCTACCATTGGACAAAATGGAGGTTCATTCACAGGTCCAGAACCTTTATTATCTGAAAATAGGATTGGTGAATTTTCCAGTACCGGAAGTACTTTGCCAGACACGGACCACATGGTTAAATTTGTTAATGGGCAAATGCTCTATAGTTGTGTTGTGTGCAAACGTAGTTATGTGACCTTATCTAGCCTCCGAAGACATGCAAATGTTCACTCCTGGAGAAGAACATATCCTTGCCATTACTGCAACAAAGTATTTGCATTGGCTGAGTACAGGACAAGGCATGAAATTTGGCATACGGGAGAAAGACGATATCAGTGCATTTTCTGTCTTGAAACTTTCATGACCTACTATATACTCAAAAATCATCAGAAGTCTTTCCATGCCATCGATCATAGACTTTCCATCAGTAAAAAAACAGCAAATGGAGGCTTGAAGCCTAGTGTCTATCCATATAAACTTTATAGGCTACTGCCTATGAAATGCAAAAGAGCCCCTTATAAGAGCTACCGAAATTCTTCCTATGAAAATGCACGAGAAAACAGTCAAATGAATGAGTCTGCACCTGGTACCTATGTTGTTCAGAATCCACACAGCTCTGAATTACCTACGCTGAATTTCCAAGATACTGTAAACACCCTGACCAACAGTCCAGCCATCCCATTGGAAACATCTGCATGTCAGGACATACCCACTTCTGCCAATGTACAAAATGCAGAGGGCACCAAATGGGGAGAGGAGGCATTGAAAATTGATCTTGACAATAACTTTTATTCAGCTGAGGTGTCAGTTTCTTCCACTGAAAATGCTGTCAGTTCTGACCTCCGGGCAGGGGATGTACCTGTTTTATCTTTGAGTAATAGTCAAAGTGAGAATGCCGCCTCTGTGATCAGCTACAGTGGCTCTGCACCCTCGGTCATTGTACACAGCAGCCAGTTTTCATCGGTGATCATGCACAGCAATGCCATTGCTGCCATGACCAGCAGCAACCACAGAGCCTTTTCAGACCCAGCTGTCAGTCAGTCCCTGAAAGATGACAGTAAGCCTGAGCCAGATAAAGTGGGTAAGTTTGCAAGCAGACCCAAAAGCATTAAGGAGAAAAAGAAAACGACATCACATACCAGGGGAGAAATACCGGAGGAGTCAAAGTACGTTGCCGATCCTGGAGGATCATTGAGCAAAACCACAAATATTACTGAAGAAACCAGTAAAATTGAAACCTACATTGCAAAACCTGCTCTGCCGGGAACCTCCACAAATAGTAATGTTGCACCCCTTTGCCAAATAACAGTGAAAATTGGAAACGAAGCCATTGTGAAAAGGCACATCCTAGGATCTAAATTGTTTTATAAAAGAGGGAGAAGACCCAAGTATCAGATGCAGGAGGAGCCTTTGCCACAGGGGAATGACCCGGAACCCAGTGGAGACAGCCCACTCGGGCTTTGCCAATCCGAGTGCATGGAGATGAGTGAAGTGTTCGATGACGCAAGTGACCAGGATTCCACTGACAAACCGTGGCGCCCTTACTACAACTACAAACCCAAAAAGAAATCCAGACAGTTGAGAAAAATGAGGAAAGTCAACTGGAGGAAGGAGCACGGAAACAGGAGCCCGAGCCATAAATGTAAATACCCAGCAGAACTGGATTGCGCTGTGGGGAAGCCTCCTCAGGATAAACCCTTTGAGGAAGAAGAAACTAAAGAGATGCCCAAGCTGCAGTGTGAACTCTGTGACGGAGACAAAGCAGCGGGGGCTGGAAACCAAGGAAGGCCCCACCGACATCTTACTTCTCGGCCATACACCTGCGAGCTCTGCGCCAAGCAGTTCCAGAGCCCTTCCACACTCAAAATGCACATGAGATGTCACACCGGGGAGAAGCCATACCAGTGCAAGACCTGCGGACGGTGCTTTTCGGTGCAAGGAAACTTACAGAAACACGAACGCATCCACCTGGGCTTGAAGGAGTTTGTCTGTCAGTATTGCAACAAGGCGTTCACCTTGAATGAGACCCTCAAAATCCATGAAAGAATCCATACTGGAGAAAAGCGTTACCACTGTCAGTTCTGCTTTCAGAGATTTTTGTATCTCTCCACCAAAAGGAATCATGAGCAGAGGCATATTCGGGAGCATAATGGGAAGGGCTATGCCTGCTTCCAGTGCCCCAAAATTTGCAAAACAGCTGCTGCCCTTGGAATGCACCAAAAGAAACACTTATTCAAAAGCCCAAGTCAGCAGGAGAAAATAGGTGACATGTGCCACGAAAACTCAAATCCCTTGGAGAATCAACATTTCATTGATTCAGAAGACAATGACCAAAAGGATAACATACAAACCGGTGTGGAAAATGTTGTCCTTTGAGTGGCAAGAGTTAGAAAAATCTTCAAAAATATAGTTGGTGGGTTTTTTTTTGTTATGATTTAAGTTTAGTTTAATTTTATTCACATAACAGTCATGAAGGAGTGAAATTTAAAAACAAAACAAAAAAACACTCATTTGTGAAAATTCCAGAAAAAGGATCCTAATATCTACTTTGGGTTTTAGCATTAACTTTATGCAAAGTGCACAAAAACATAATAGCTGACTCCTCCAGCATCCCAAGTTTCTTGTGAAAGTTAATGAAGTTCTTAGCTGTGGTATTTCTACCAGTGAAAAAAGGAGTTTAATTTTAGCCTAGTTTGAAACTTTCTAATAATTGCTAATATGAACTGGCTGCTGAACTGTCTTTAGTCACTGGAGAAAATGAAGATGGCATCTTCGTAAATATGTTATGTGGTAATGAGCTGTGTGACGGTCTTTATTCCCATCTGGCTTCTGCACTATTAAAATTTGTTTAAATTAATGGATACACATGAAATACTTAAACAATATAACTGAAATTATGTGCATAATGAGTAACCTAAAGTAGGACATTCATACATTATGTAGAACTACTTTTCTGCAACACAAACCTTGTAAAATACATATATAAATCACTATAACTTTTAACTGTCCATATCCCCTGTAGAGAATTATGAGGAGCAATAGATCTGCAAATAATGAGGACTGATGTAAAAATCAGTAGAAAGCATTTTGAATATGATTTCAGAGCATGTGAATGCTTTTAGATGGAATGCTGTTCCCTTGAAGTTATGGCTGAGCTGTTCTTAGAACTGGTCTACTCAATTCACAGAAAACATAGGTCATGCCTTATCTATGGGGGAACACCCTCCCAGAATTTACCTGTGATTGCCTGTGCTACATATTACTTTGCAATGGCCTCATCTCAGAGAATGAAAGAGGGTCACATTCTTCTGAAACTCTCTGCAGTCTTCCAACCACCACAAGGCCATGGATGTGGGGGGTCTATTCCAGACAGACTTAAGGGTTCAAGTGGAAGCTGCCATCTCCCATTCCACTGAAGGGATTTAGTGCAAGGTACACTGCAGTAGTGAATTCCCAGGCACTTGAAAGTGACTGCCTAATCCCTAGTAATTGTAATTACTAGCCTTCTTGGAGATTATGCAGCCCACAAGTACAGACTAGTATAATAAAGCAAAAGGGCAAAGGAACCCCCACCCTCCACCCCACCCATTAATGACTTGAGTGGGCAAGAAGAAGTGATGGCCTTCCTTGCCTAAAACAATAGCCTTGTTTTTAGGGGATGGAAAGGTAGAATGTGGAGTGACATGGTTCTATCGTTTACTTATGAGACTCAGAAATATATCTACAAAGCCAGATGCTCTGTCGTCATATTTGCAGACATCTACACCCCTTGCTAAAAACCCACTGAAGTTTTTTTAATGTTCTTTTACACTGACCCACACCATCAACATTACCCTCAAATCTAATTGCCCTACATCATATTCTATCATGTGGACCAGGTTCCTGGAAAGCTGGAATGCATGATTCTTTTTTAAACTGCCAGAATAGGAGGGAGAGAAAACATTTCTACCCTTTGATCACCGGTGTGAACAGAATCCGGAATGCAGTTTCAGCCTGACCTGCAGTCATTCATGTTCATTGGATTTGACGGATGGTTATCAAAGATTGGAAGGTTATCATTGTGCAGAAGTAGCTTAAAGGACTCCGGTTTCCCTCTACAAGTGTGATGTCTCCATGAAGAAGATTTAGTATGGATTTGGGTGGGTAAGAAAGCATTTAAACACCCAGGAAAGGACATGATTAAAGTTGACCTTTTAATACTGTAGTACCTTGCTGTTAAGTAACCCCACTATTGTATCTGCATTTATCTTTTGTTCATCTACTTTCACTTACATACAGTATTATATAAGTAGAGAAAAATGGGAAAATGCAAGCAAATTCAACTTTATTTTATACATTGTATATATGTATACCCTACACTATTCATTTGGGTTTTGTTAGATAGTCACAAAGGGCTTATGAAAATCATTTTTGAATTGATAATTAGAACATTGAATAAGCAATCCTATGATCCACTAATTTGTTTTATCAGTTAATAATATGAATCAAAGATAATTAGTGTGTACTCTAGTCATTTTGATTTCAGTTAACCCCAAATATAAAATTACCTGTAGTGATGTCTCTCTCCCAGCCCTTACATGTGGATATTTTTTAAGTGGGACTTGTATGCTGATAATTCTAGACCAAAGTAAATATGGCAGAATATTTATACATGAAAAAATAATTTTGCAAATATTTTCTATAATTGTATTCATTTAAAATGTTGATAGCTTGTGTTAGTTTCAGGGAGGGGTGTATATTTTGATAAAAAAAATACTTGACTTTGTAATTCTGTATATTCTATACAATTTATAGCAGAGCCGTTTTAAGACAGCCTGGTCACTTTTTTTGTTAATTGTGAAAATTTTATTGAGTGATGTTTAAGTATGCATTGAGTACATGACCAACTAGAATTAAAGTAAGTGTAAACAGTGAACATACTGTATGCTGTACAAGATATAATGTAACTTGCTGTTTTAGCATCTGTATTTTGGTTAGAAGATATTATTAAATGCAGATGTTAAGGATTGGAAAAGTCTAATTTTATTTTTAGAAATAATGGATATAAATTTGTTTTTGCTTGATTAAAATAGCTTATTCCTATATTAAGTCTCTTTTTAAATGTTTTAATGTTATTTCTTTCGTGCAGCTATTTCATCTGAGTCACAGCTTTGTTTCCACGTATTATTCATTCGGTATATTTCTGTTTCCTTACTTGTTTACATTCCGTGGTACCTACTTACATGCTTAGGAGTCAAATGGATTATGACATTAGGAAAAAAGCAGAATAAAAGAGATTGAAGTCTTCTGATGATTGAGTGTTTTGGATAGGCCTGATCTTATAATGATAAATCAGAGAATGAAATGCTCTCCAGGAAGCATTCTGCTCCACTCATCCGTGGGAAACAAATTACATTTATTGAGTACCAGGCACTAGGCAATGTCTTTACATAGGCTATTTCATTAACACACACACACCAGAATTCAACCTCATTATCCTCATTTTATAGTGACTTTGAGAAGGTCTCACAACCAGACAAAGCCAGGATGCTAACCTAGGTCTGCCTGACTCCAAAGCCCATGTTTTTGTTCCTTCTCAACACTGTAGAGAAAAGTGATTTATAGAAACTGAACAGAGTATGAGGAAAGGAGACATGATAAAGTAATGCAGCTTTAGGATGGCAGTTAGTGACTGCCCTGGAACGGGATTAAAGGAGGCTGTGTCGGGTTCAGCTTCCCCTGAATTGGGCTTCCCTTATATCTCAGGAGATTGCCCTATAAAATCAGTAAAATTTGTGCACTTTTTTAAGGATATGGAGTAAAATTGTAATGGCATTATGAGCTAGTAATTTTCACACAAAGAAAAAAATACGTTCCATTGTCATAGACTCTACTCCTAAACTTAGCTAACTATCTTGCAAATGCCTGCAGTTTGTCCCAGTGGGCCATGTGAGAGGGGACGTCGGTGGCTCAGGCAGCACAGTCCATCACCAATACAGAGAAAATTACTGCCAGGCCTACCAATGACTGGCCAGTAGCATCAATTTTGTATTGGAAGGGCAATCCAAACCAGATTCACCAAAAATTTGATAACTTATCTGCTAAAACTAATTTCATTATCTAAAAGAAAACATTTAATATTGAAAGAATTTGTAACAATTGAGAAAGTAAAATCATAAAACAAAAAATGTTAGTACATTCTTTTCCATCACTTCGGATATTTTCATTCCTACTGCTCTTCATCTTATCTCATCACCTACTGATTGATTTGGTTCCACTTCCATCTGTCTGTATGAGTTTCTTTTTAGAGAAGCAACAGCTCTTCCACTTAGGTTTCCTCCATATCCAAGAACTCATCCCCATGCCATTCCCCCTCCCCAAATCCTGACCAGCTATTGATTTCTCTTCTGGAGAGAGAAGCCCCCTTTGCTCCCTCCCTAGTTTGTACCTCCTAACCCAATTCTTGAAGCAAGATGGTCAGTGAGCAAGAAAGTTGGCTGGGTGTGCAATTTAGAACTATTCATTCTAAATTTAGACAACGAATGGACGAACTAGTTAGAAATATTATGTTTTTATTTCATTAGTAACATCTAAAACATTCTATTTAGAATGTTTTTCTGGAAAATCAAACACTTTTGCAATAATTTTAAAATATATGACTTGTATGTAATTATAGGCAAAAGTATTTTATTCCAGTTAGAGAAACTGGTAAACAGACATTTTAAAGATGTAATAATGCAGCCAGGCGTGGTGGCTCACAACTGTAATCCCAGCACTTTGGGAGGCCGAGGCGGGAGTTGGAGAATGGGCTGGCCAACGTGGTGAAACCCCGTCTCTACTAAAAATACAAAACCAGCTGGGCGTAGTGGCAGGTACCTATAATGGTAGGAGTGGGGAGACTGAAGCAGGAGAATCACTTGAACCTGGGAGGTGGAGGTTGTAGAGAGCCGAGATCATGCCATTGCACTCTGCCTGTGCAACAGAGCAAGACTCCATCTCAAAAAATAATAATGCTAACTTATGTAAAATTGTAATTCATTTATTCAAAATATACTTAATTTTTACTGCTGAACTAGGACTATAGAGATGTGAGGTAGCTTGTGCCTTTGAGGAACTTAAGTCTGGTGAAGGAGATTGATGAGACAATAGATGATTATAAAACAAAACTCTGAGCTCTTAAGAGGCCTAGAACCAAAGCAGAGAGAAGTGATACTGAGCAGAGACTGCTGGAGCTGGGCTTCACCAGAGGGGTCAGGTCCAGAGAGGAGCGACTAAAACAAAGGAGCCACGGAGGAATGTAGGTTGTTCCAAAAGCCTGGGGTTTGGGATGATGAACCTGGAGAGGCACGTGGGACACATCGTCAGGGCCTTGGCTTTGCCAGAGTTGAACCTCTATCCTGAAAGCATAAGGCAGTGGGCAAGCAAAGGAGGGGCTGGGTAGTAGGAGGTGAACTCAGAGAGAGGTAACACAATATCCAAGCAAGATGGGAAGCCTTTGGAGGACTTCAGCAGAGAGTGGAAGGATCTGATGTGCTTACAAGGATCACTCTTACTGCACTGTAGTGAATAGACCACAAGCCGGGGCAAGGGTGGAGGCAGGGAGATGAGATAGGAGGCTGTGGCAGTACAGGTGGGAGAAGACAGTGGCTTGGAAGAGGGTGGAAGTAGTGGAGATAGTAAGAAATGGGTCACATTCTGGAGATAGCTTTTTAAATTTTGTAATATGGAAATGTTAAAGCCTATGCAGAGGTAGAATAGTTTGGTAAAACCCAGTGTATCCATCATTCAACAATCAACAATTCATAGCCAATGTTGTTTCATCAAAACCCTCATCTACTTTCCTTCTCCACTGTATTATTTTGAAGCAGATCCTAGACATCATACCATTTCATCTGTAAATATGTCAGAACGCATCTCTGAAAAGGTAAACAACATTTTTAATATAACCATATCATTACCATTCCTTAAAAATTAACATTTCCTTAATATCATCAAGTTCCATTCGTTAAAATTTCTGGTTGTCCCATCATTATAATTTTTTTTTACAACTGGAAACAGAATCCAACTAAAGTCCCATACTACAATTAGTTGGTATACCTGTCTTTTAATCTACAGATTTTCTATTTTTTCCCTTTGCAATTTCGTTCTGAAGAAATTCTGTGGGCCGGGCGCGGTGGCTCAAGCCTGTAATCCCAGCACTTTGGGAGGCCGAGATGGGCGGATCACGAGGTCAGGAGATCGAGACCATCCTGGCTAACACGGTGAAACCCCGTCTCTACTAAAAACACACACACAAAAAAACTAGCCGGGCGAAGTGGCGGGCGCCTGTAGTCCCAGCTACTCGGGAGGCTGAGGCAGGAGAATGGCGTAAACCCGGGAGGCGGAGCTTGCAGTGAGCTGAGATCCGGCCACTGCACTCCAGCCCGGGCGACAGAGCAAGACTCCGTCTCCAAAAAAAAAAAAAAAAAAAGAAATTCTGTGATCATAGTCTAGGAAGAAACAAGACAACTTCCTAGGTGGCGGGGCGGGGGGGTTCTTCCGTTAGGAGGTACACTCTGTGTGGCTGAGATATTGGATGTATTTGAGGTACACTCTGTGTGGCTGAGATATTGGATGTATTTTGAAGACAGATATGATAGATTTGCTAATGGTATAGATTTTTCAACCAGGGGTTGAAAAACAGAGGAATGAAAAATGACACCAAGGTTTAGGCCTGAGCAATTAGAAGGATGGTGTTGCCAACAAACTAGATACCTGGGTTGGAAGTTCAGAAGAGGAGACTGACTTGAGATACGGATTTGAAAGTTGTATTTCATTCATTCAAAATATATTTGAGGTGGGAGTATAGTACAAGAATGGACAAAACAAATAGTCCCTGGAGCCTGTGGCATAGAGGGGAACACGAAAGGCTAAAAAGCTGATTAATTACAACCATAGTAAATGCTATGAAGAAGAGCTGCATGGTGCTCTGAGGACATCTAATGGGGGAACGTAACCTAGTTGGGAGGTTCAAGGGAGGCTGTCTTTGAGGAAGTAACTTTTTTTTTTTCAGACCTAGACCTGAAGAAGTAACTTTTGAGCTGAGGCCTAAGAGATAAATAATAGTTGAAAGGAGAGAGAGTTTCTAGGTTGGGAGCTAACAGCTATCAAGGGCAGCCTGTGGAGGGAACACAGTTCTTTGGAGGCCAGTGGTGTCCAGAGTACGTGAGAAATTGATTTAAAATCAGACTAGAGAACAGGAGCCATACCATGTGGAGCCTTCAAGGTCATGCTAAGAATTTGGATCTTATACTAAGAGCATCAGAAAGCCATTGAATTATTTAAAGCAGGTTGGGACAAGAAGAGGTATATTTAATTAGTTTTGTATTACAAAAAAGTCACTGTGGCTGAAATATAGACAATGGCTTGGAAGACAGTAGCAGCCAGAAGTAGAGCAGTTAGGAAGCCACTGCAGTTGTCCAGGCTGGAGATTACAGTGGCTTGGATTTGTTAACTGGAAAAACTTTAAAGAAGTTAAATTTAACAGAGTTTAATTGAGCAAACAACCATTTGTGAATTGGGGACCCCTAAGAACCAGAATAGGTTTTAAGAACTCCAGCGTACAACATAGTCAGGCAGCATTTACAAGAAGAAAATGGAAGAAGTAAGGTACAGAGACAGCTTCATTGGCTACAGCTCAGTGTTTTGCCTTATGTGAATCAGTCAACTGCCTGAGATTGACTGAAGCTCAGCTGCTGAACTGACTGAGACTCAGCTGTTAGTTTAGGTTTTTAGTTAGTTTACATACTAAGTAAGGTTGCAGTTCATTTCGGACTTGAGTATGAAGGCATCCTTAGGCCAAATTTAGTTTAGTTTAACTGATGATGTGATTGCAGTGAAGATGGAGAGAAAGGGGAGGATTTGGGAGATACTTAAGAGACAGAAACAGCAGGACTTGGTGTCTGATGGAATATAGGGATGGATCAAGGATAGTCTTTGGGTTTTAGATTTGTTGAAGCTAGGAGTGCAACATGTCCCCCCCATGAAGCTTGTATAGAGAAGGAAGAATCTAGAAAACACTAGTACAAATGGCCTCCGACTTCTGAGGTTTCCACTTACAATTTTTTGACTTCATGATTATGCAAAAGCAATACAGGTTCAGTAGAAACCATATTTTGAGTACCCATACAAGCATTCCATTTTTTACTCAGTACAGTATTCAACAAATTTCATAAGCTATTCTATACTTTATCATAAAATAGGCATTGCATTGGATGAGTTTGCCCAACTACAGGCTAAAGTAAGTGCTTGACCCACAGTTAAGGTAGACTA